GATATATGCCAAGATCTTGAATCCTGGCAGGGAATGGAGGAGACGGTGATGTCACTCCCGAAGCTAAGTGCTGGTATCCATCCTGTGACCTAACGAGAGACCCATTAAACCTGACACAGGATACAGGAAAGGGAGCGAGCGGCTCGCTGTGCCGTGCACGTTTCCTTCCTGCCTTCCCCTGGTCTCTCACATTAACAGTGTGCTACCTATGGATGGCTCAAACTTTATCCTGAGAGCTGGAACCCATCTGCAGCAGCATTTATAATTTATCCATGAAAATGAACAGAAAAATAAAAAATCATGGAATGTGGGCCAGACACTATAATTTCAGAGTATATGGAGGAAATAAAAAGTTAGTCAATATTTCTGTTCTGTTTTCTGTGACTGACTTTTAAAGAAAAACTCATACTACCATAAGAAAGGGAAGTACCAACGCCTTCCTTTTGAAGAGATGCTTTTTTCCTTATCTTTATTTTGAAAGTGATACTGTATTGCTGAGCTGCTTTGAAAAAATTCTGTGTAAACAAATGCACAACTGGAAAAAAAGCTGGAACTGACAAGAATAAAGCTAATTAAATTCTTATTTGGAAAGAATAGTCATATTGTGACAAAACCCAGAGGATGAACAGAAAATAGAAGTGACACAACACTGGGTAAAAAATGATTTGTGCATTTAGGCAGAGCTTTCAAGTGCTGTGCTAGTGAAAGGTGCTAAACTGCGTTCCTGTGTATTCTGAAATAACTGTGCGAGCCAGACTATTAAAACCCTGCATGCATTTTCATCCACTTGAGAGGTTTAAAAAAACTAATCATTTCAAGTGGTAAAATACAGAACGCCAGGGAGACTGCCACAGGAACTCTTAATTTCAGTGTCCTTTCAGATCGCTTATTAGATTTCAAACGTTAGCATAAACAAAATCAAAGGCAAATAGTGGGTTGGGAGGTACTGGCATGAGGCACTTGTAATCAGGCCTTGTTCTAGGAATCGACTGCCCTCCTTGATTAGAGCACATCTAACACTTACTTTGCATCCACGTAACTAAACCCCTCTGTGCTCCGAAGCTGCGGAAAGGAGACGGTGCCTGCACGGAGCCCAGGTCACTGCTGGGGTCGGGGGCTCCATGCGCGGCACCGGCCGCGCAGCCCCGGGCCTGAAACACGGAGCAAGAGACACATGGGGCAGGTCCGTCTCACACTGTGAAAAAGACACTGGTCACACAAATAAAGGCTAGTGACAGGTTCCAACGTAACCAGCTTTTAGCTGTGAGCGGACACAGCAAAGACAGACTTTTTGCTCCGATGTTTTGACCACGTGTTTAGAAATTTACCTTGAAATCCTTCTACCACAGTTGCGTCAGGTGCTGTTTTCATTACACTACCAACATTTAGTTATTATTTGCTTCCTAGAACGTTTTTTTTTTACTGTATCTGCTTTGCAAATAGTGTAATTCATGTTCAACTTGAAATGATCCTAAAATTACTTTTGTTTGTTTGTTTGTTTTTTGAGTGATACAGGGTGATGAATTCTTATTCTCTGCTTCTGTCTATGGAGACAGAATGATGCAAACATCATTAGTTTAGATATAATCTAATGCACTTCTAGTGAAGCAAAACATTAGTGTTGATATTCCTTTTTCAAAGCGAAAAACAGTATTTGAAAACTACTTCACAAATTAATTCCAGCTTTTACAAATGGCTTTCACAGTAGAAATCTTTGAACAAGCTGGAATGTTTAATGCTCACATTTTCTAAAATGTAAGTTGACATTTTTGTAAATTTCAATATGTTTTCTAATCCAAAATGATTTTTTAATTTCATTTGGCAGAAGACTCATTGTACGAGGTATTTACATTTTCAGGCAACTAAAATATTCATCATCCTCAGGTTTTAAGAGATTCTAATATCTGAGCCTAAGAAAACTGATTTCTCCATTTATATCCAGGCAATTGTCGGAGACCAGTATCCAACAACACTAAATCCCAGTTCTGGAGCCCAGCTACCGCTCTAAAAAGCGTAATTTGCACACTTGCTAGATACTAGCCCAAGAGATTGCCATAAATCCTCAAAAAATAAAACTGAATGCTACATGTCATTTTCAGCACAAGGTGCTATGTTCATGTAAAAAAAAATGTACAGCATGACGGCATGTGCAATTCCAAAAGAGACTGGAAATCTGGGCAGCAGGACAAGAGGTCAAAGTCCCTCTTTCCTCCTGTCCCAGCAGGACAAGGTGAAAGTATAGACTTTCAGTCCTGCAAGAAAAGCGAGCTTCTTTAGCCCATTAAACTCTGGACTAAGGTAGATGTGAAATCTTCCATTTCTCGAGTCAAAGGTTTGCTCACCAGCTCCTACCGAGCCTCTACCAGCCAACAGTAAAATATATTTCTGGTTAATTCGGAACAAGAACTGTCTAAATGCATTTGCAATTTTACATTTATAGACTTATCTCTTTAAGATGTATTAAAAGAGCAAGGCAGAATATTCTAAAAGTTTCACAGTACGAAGTTTCTTAGTAGTTCCTTGCTAAAGAAGACCTATACAATCAGGGAAAGGCATTAAAGGACAGTTCAAGGAGTGCATCATGAAGACTCAAAGGAAGGATGTGTAAGAAGAGCAGTAGTTTGCTGCCAAGCTCAGCTGTCACCTGCCCTGATTCTTAGATAGCATGAAGACTCTTCGGAAAGTTGACTCCTCTCTGCCACCAAGGACATAAGCAAACCAGGATCTTTGCCACAGAAACCAGCATTAGGGAGGGACTTGAAGTCACATGGGTAGCTTGGCCACGACCTAGCTCTATGAAATGACAAAAAAGTCGAACAGAGCAAGGTTAAATAAACCAGCAGATTGAACAAGCAAGGACAAACTTATTTTGCTTGTTTTTCCTCATAATGTATTAGATTTTATCACTATTTCACACATCTCCAAACCTGTCTTTTTTTAAATCTTTATATCATCTTTGTTTTATGTAATTGGAAAAAACTCATGATAACGCTGAAGGATCCTGCTAGAGGAAAATGCATTGATGTCACAAATACATACAAAGCTGAAACATAGTGACTAAACATCATAAAATATTTTACTTGGTGCTTTGCTTCAACAGACCAAGTAAAATGAGATTAATTTTCCCAATGTCAGAAAATAGAAACATTGTGTTACCATACCTCTGAAAGCTACATGCATTTAATACTGACACTGCGCGCCCCTAAACCACAAATCAAATACTACCTGTGAGACAAGCATGTATCTCAGTGGGAGTCAGAAAAAGGCACTGGAGATCCAATTTCCAAAAAGCACTGTTCTCAAATTTCACAGGTAGAGGGCTCCCCTAAAGTTCATCAATAATTTTAAATTCCTTTTTCTGGTAGAAAATGTAGGGAGGCTCTCAGATAAGGGAGCAGGATGCTAAACAAGTGAAGATGTATTTGCCAATTCCTCTCTGGTCTTCTTTACAGTAGCTCAAGTGCAAGACCATCAGAAGAGAGGTATTTGTGGCTACAGATACCAGGAGGGAAAAAATGGTACTCTGCATGTATTTATTAGGAATAATTAGGAAAATTTATAGGAATAATATTATACACAGACAGTTTAAAGTACTCAAGAGGACTTCTGGTTCCCAAAGACTGCAAATCCATCTTACTAAGCATATAATGCAAAGCAAAAAGAAAGATCTGAGAGGTCAAATGTCTTGAGCAGATAGGAAGTTTCTAAAGTAAGCAGAAATACTTAAAGTATTTAAGGAAATACAAGCAGCAGATATGCAACTTTTTTTTAAACAGAGAATATATTTTTAGCTAAAATATATACATCATGATCATGCACTTATATGCTTACATCATTTAAAAAGTCATGAGGTGATTGCATCACTAAAATCTTCAGCATGATCTTCCAATCAAGTGAAAAAAAAAAAAAAAGCAAACCATACAAGTCTGAAAGGAAGGCAGAAAGGACACAGTTTAAATTGCTAAGATAGACCTTCTGCAAAAAAAGAAAAGAGCTTCAGGTCAGGACAAAGAAATCAAGGATATCTAAAGCTAGGTAGTACTGTTGTCGAGGAAAGGCCTGATTTAAAGGCATTTAAGGCATCAAAGGACAAAAATGGCTTTTGAAACAAACTGAATATAAAGAAGGAAAAGAAAAACTACAGTTGAAAGGAATTTTGGAAACATAACCTAAACGTAAATATTTTCAGAGCGTAAATAGAAAGAATGTTTGCGGGATCCCAGCATTTTGGATTATAAGAAGAATATTTTGCCTGTTCTTGGAATAAAACTAAAGAAAATTGAAATTAGAATCACTAGATTTGTTTCCTGTAAGCTTTGGTGGTATATTTATAAAGGTGGAAAAAGAAAACAAAAACTTGCTGAGCTTAAACAGTTCTTGTAACATTGTTAAATGTGCTATTTTTAAACCTGTGAAAGGCAATGATGAATTTCTTAGTATATCCTCCATTACTCAGCCTGTTTACTGAAGACCTTCTGTTGTCTCCTCTAGTGAGATATTTTGAATTTATTTCTATACCATACTTCATATCTACATGGCAGAAATCTTTCTTGCATCTGTTTAAAATGTAAGATATATACTATACTGTATAGCCATCTATATTGTATACAGAATGGGAAGGATTTTTTTTTTCTTTTTCTTTCAGAATATCTTACCCTGAGATTTTTCACAGTAACCATGGCACAAAAAGAAAGCTCCAACTGAAAAGTTAAAAACAATATGAAACCTCCTAGGTTTTTTAGCTTAGCATCTGAGTATATCTAATTTATTAGATAGAAGGATGGCAGCAGATTAAGAGAGAAGCAGATTTATGACTAAATAATTCCCACCGCTCATCAAAAAGCAGAACAAGATAGAAAAGTATCTGGCATTTCCATTCAACTCGAGCCACATCTGAAGATGTGAAAAGAGTCACTAATGTTTAAAAGCACTTACTCCTGTTCTTATACACAAGCAGCAACATTAATAAATAATTACCAGAGCTTTTAAAGCAAACATACCTCAAAGACATAGGTGTCTTAATTCATCCGAAGAATTAGTATCATCTCAGCTGCCTTTTTGTCTTCTGGTTTGCAATATGTTGTGTAGCCTAGGAAAAATAAATCCCTACTTATTTTCACACTGAAAGCATGAGGCCAGACCCAAGGAAAAAAAAAAAGAAGTTAATAGCATTGCTGTTAATTCCTCTGTAATCCTACCTCATTATCTTAAGCAAATAAATCTCAGAAAAGGATTGCCTTATTAAAACTGAATTAGAAAACTGAATGTCATCTGTGTAGAGAGCCATTCTCTGAAATCTCAGTCAGCAAGGAAACTCATAAATAGGGCATTATATAAAAATGTTTCTATCAGGCAATCCTTAGCAGATTTTCAACAGATGTGCATGTAACTACGATTTCACAGATTCCTAAAATAAAATGTGTCGACATCATTTACCATGAACTTTCAAAAGAGAGTCTAAAAAATGTACTCATTTAGAGTCTATTGAAGGAACAATATTGTAAAGATATGTAAAGTGCAGCAAGAAAGGATACTGATTATTTTCCCTCCCACTCTTGCATGCCACTGTAATATTTGATTTACCTAGGAGTTTTTTTTTTTTAAGAGAGGGTTATTATGTTTTGATTTTGTTTCTATAGATTACCTGAAGCTCGGAAAGCAAAGCCCCCTGGCACTTCTTAAACACTCGTCTACGCATTTTCATACGCATTCGCCAAGCATATGAGCAGTGAAGAAGCAGTGCATGCTATAAACAGAAACCAGACAGCTACTGCGGTAACATCGTTTTAAGTTTTCCAAACAATGTTTATCACTTGTAAGCCTACTTTATACATATGTTACTTAGGAATGGAAAGCAACAGTTATCAGATCCTTGAAAAACAAGAAAACTATTATAAAAAAGCCTTTTTATTCAGGAATGACAACTTTGTTATTAAGTTAAAGGCATCTGTAGATAACAGTTGCCCTTTTCATTTTAATCCTCATTAGTATCACACTTCCTTGACTCATTTTGAAAATGCTATTCTTATCTTAGTCACCCTATGACTACTTCCTTATTTCACAATACCTGTGAAGTCGTACCAATATAATGGAATTACTTGGAAAAATAGAAAATAATAAAAAAAGAAGAACGCAGCTTGCTTGCTTAAAGGGTTACACAACTGAGTGAAGCCAGCACTGGAAAAACATTGTGTAGAGCACCTTACACGGGTGGTGTACAGCACCTTAATAACACGCAAAAACAACTAAGGAAAACAGTTTTCACACAAAAGAAACAATAGGCAAACAGAACTAAAACAGAAATGAAATCTACTTACCCACGTCAAATACGAAAAATAATGAGGAAAGGCTGCAGCTCCTTTCCATACTCACAAGCTAGCAACGCAGCAAGCAAAAAAAAGTAGTCAGAAAAAAGTGATTTCTGGCAACAGCTGGTCCCAACTCCCTTTACCTTGTTAATGTACAAAAAAAGTACATAATTACAAAAACAAGCAAACAAAACAAAAACCAAGCCAGAATACATGAAAGCCAATGTATGCTACAGAAAAGAAAACAAGACTTCTAGCATTGATAGCAATATTCAAGCACTGTCATGTATTACTTTATCAAGGCAGATACTTTAAGGGCCTGCAGACTCTATTATTCAGGTTAAGGGAATCAAAAAATTCAAATTGCGATCAATAAGGCCAAATCCTTATTTACGAGGAAAAGGAAAGCATGGAATCAAAGTAGGCTTGATTTGAGGATTTTGTATCACTTATTCAGCTGGTAATATGGTAATGGGTAATATGGTAATGGCTAGTATAACAACCCCCTTATATTATGTTTTCTAATTTTTCTAATTTCATCGCCCTCTTTCATAACAATATTTGAGACTTGCAAGGTCTGAGCTGAACCATCACCTCTTCATTTGGGTATTACAAGTTTTTCATAGCACAATGAATATGGAATAGCTAGGCAACAGTGGCAAAAATTCTTGCTAGGATGAGGCATGTTTCAAATATTGTTTAGATGTGCAAAGTGGCTACAAACATTATTTGCCTCACACTAATATCCTTTTTATCCTCCTAGATACATTAGGGAAGAGAAGTTTTCAAAGGTGGTGTTTCATAGAGCTAGAGAATTGTGGTCACTCTCACAAGCCGCTGCACTACTACTACATCAAGAGGAATATTTCACCAGATTTATTGATCTCATCATGTTTTGCAGAATGAGGCAAAATATTTCATTCTTTTAGCTTGTAAAATACTGTGATGTTTCTGTTCATCTAACTGTTCAACTTTTTTAGATACTTCAAAGGCTCCTAGTAACCTGGCAACTTCACAATTCATGCGTTTGTCCACAACGCTCAAGTTTGATTTTTTTTTCTTCCTGTGTTTCTAGATCAACAATTTCAATATTATACATACCCATTTACCACTTTGTGAAATCGGTAATGTATTTACTCTTAATGACAGCAGACTGGAAAAAAGTCACCAATTCAGTCTAGCATTTTGAGACATATGAAAATCTGCAGTTTACTACTGGAAAGGTTTTGCTTTTACAAAATACCCATCTCTGTTTTCTCCAGTTGTTTCAATCATTTAAAGTTGTGAAAGATTGATCCATTTTTACCTTAACGCTAGTATACAAAGAACAAAGAATGTAACGGGAATTAAGTTCTTAAAACCCGTTGATGCTGACCCATATCTAGAGATGTAGCTTCTTTCAGGAGAATCCTTGCCACAAAATCTATACTGAGAAAAGGGAGAAACCTCAAGTTTATTCCTGAAGCACCACGCTGACCCTCTTCTGCTGTGCTAGGACACACAGGAATTCAACTCCCGTGGCCATGCTAGCGGCTGGATTCTTGGAAATCATTAATTCTAGCTTTACGAAGCAGTTCAGGCCAGAGACGCGTTCCTTAGACACCCCCCAGTGTCTCATGTCACAGTAATGCCAGGCTGCTGGCTCCTCAAGTAAGGCCATTACTTAGAAAAAAGGCAGGATGATTCACATATTCATATATTTATATTTTATAATTTTTATATTGTTGTATAATAAGGATTTACTAGTTTTTCACCAATTTTTTTTTCAAGCTCAATTTCCAAAAAACTGTGACCTGCTGATCAAAAGCTTGTGCAATCTTAGGCCGGGCAAGTCAGATGTCTTAGGGACAGCTATTCACCCTACATGAATGTACAGGATTATCCCCCAAACTATATCCCATCTTCAGAAGCACCAACCTAACTGACCAGTAGAAAATTTAAAGCCGAATTAATGTGAGGATAATATTGATTGACTACATGGGTTCCTTTTCCATTGCAGAATTAGTTGCCCTGTTGTTTTCCTTGGCATTTCTTATATTAAGTAAATAACCTTCTACTTGAATTGATTAATGTTCATGCTTATTATGTGTTCTGATTAGTGTCACCGAGAGCAAAGCTAATAAGATTAAAATGTTCCATGTGAAAATGAGGTTCAGATTTCCTCATTTAAAAATAAATAAATAAATAATATATTGCTTCTGCTATCAGCATAATTTCCCCCTCTTTCTTTTCCACTGTGAAGAACTGTTTGTTCAATAGTATGAAGCCAATCAAAATTTCTTAATTTCCAAAGTTTACAGATGTTGCACAGGATTCCTTTCCGCTGTTTCTACTTACAACAAAAAGTATGCTAATGTTGTTCAGAGAAGACCTTTATTTATTTTTGAAAAAATATAAGACTATGTTTCAATTTGACTGCTGGAAATATATTTTAAGTAAATCTATGCACAATGAGGCACCTAAGATACAAAACAGTAATGCTTTCAGGAGTTAACTCAGTTTGACACTTTTTAGCTGACAGTTTCAATTAATTTCTCATTATAATGAGATTATTATTCTGAGAGAAATGGTAAACATTTCTAGGATAAAAATTACCATATTCTAAGCTATTTTATTTCATTAATTTACTCTATGGTACCAAAACTAACGATACAGATAAACCTGGGAATAAATTTGCAATTATTTCCTATACTTCTTCCAGTTCCACAAAGTATGAATAACTAAGAAATGTAGTAAGAAAATCAAGTGCAGTGCATTTTTTCCTTATTTTGGATTATATAATTAAGGATATTTACTGAATAGAGCCAATCCCACTTGCCTATGTAGCCCTCTTTATTTGTCATAAGTTTTGTATGGGCATAGAAATTTATAACAATTCCTAATTCCTGTCAACACTCCTATTTCTTAACTGAAAACTGACATAACATTCAGGACTTGAACCTGTTCCCATTTGCCACATCTTTAAACACTTAACAAACTTACTTTTCAGCATGAAGAAAAAAAATAATGAAACAAATATATGCTCCTACAGGAAAAGGAGGAATTAATAATACGCCTTTTCATTGTCAAATCTAGTGTTTACTCCTACTTCTGAACAGAACTTCTAGAACTTCTTTGATCTAGTATATCTGTTATTGGAAACATGGGGAACACCCGCGGAAACACTCAGAAAATACAGAAGTTAACTATACCCGCTACACCAATGAAGCTTTGAATACTTGAGTTCAGGGCCAAAATGTTTGTGAATATAAATGTGACTGTATCACAAGACTCTGAGTACTTCAGTACTCAAGAGCTTCTTGAAAACCAAGTATACAACAGTTCAAGGGAAAACAATCTGCAAATCAATTGGACCAATAGGATAAGACTCATTTGGTAGAAAGTAAAACTATTAAGCTATTAACAGGACCATTTACACTGCACAGCCTCGTGCACTTCAGGTATCAATATTTTTCCCACAGAGATTAGTTAGAAAACTGCTACATTTCTTCTATTTTTTTTCCCGAATTACATCTATTGTAACCTAGTTCTCCTACTGCCCAATATGTAGGTTTTTGCATCGCACAAAATCTAAGTATGTTTTTCTCTTATACTGCATTGAACAAGATCTGAGTTTTTGGAACACAGTTGGGCCACAACTCTTTCTCTGCTACTGTCTTTGTGGCAAAGGAAGTGATTTTGGCTTTTCTTCTTTTGCAGCCTTTTTCCTGCTCTGTACTAGCTACATTGAACAAGCAGGGCCAAGACTTCACCCAGGCCACATGCACCCAAAAGCGGAACAGACCTGTATCTAGGTCCTAATTCACTCGGAAGATACGTGTCCTTTTGTTCCCATACACAGGCTTGAAACTTGCATCAAGAAATATGGAAAGGACGTGCACCTAATCATGTCAGATTAGACCTGGTCTGACAGGATGACCATTCTGCTATCGTTTCTTCTGAACAAAAGCGGACAAATGATAACAG